GAGAGAGAGAGAGAGAGAGAGAGAGAGAGAGAGAGAGAGAGAGAATATGTGTGTTCACGCATTTTGGAAGCCAGAGGTCAACCTTAGGTGTCATTTCTTAAGTACAATGCACCTTGTTTTTAAAAAATGTTGTGTACAAGTGTTTCCTGCAAGTATGTGAATGCACTACATGTGTGCCTGGTGTCCATGGAGACCAGAAGGGGGCACTGAATCCTCTGGACCTGGAGTTACAGATGGTTGTAAGTCACCATGTGGTGCTGAGTACTGAACCTGGGTTCTCTGCAAGAGCAGCCAGTGCTCCTAACCGCTGAGCCATCTCTCCAGCCTCCCTTCATACAAGATCTCTTCCTGGGACCTGGGGCTCGGATGATTCAGCTAGGCTGGCCACGCAGTGGGCCCCGGGGATCCACCTGTCTACCTCCCAGCATTGGAGACGTAATGATGGGCCATCGTACCCGGGCTTTGTTTCACACGGGGCCTGGGGAGCCAACCCAAGTGGCCCCAGTTGTGAGGCTGGCACTTTGCCAGCTGAGGTGTCTCCCCAGCCTCACCACTCAGGTCTTCTACACAAGTAACAGCTGTGAGGAAGTGGCTGCAGCCAGCTGTGGTGGCTCTTTCCTGTCATCCCAGCCCTCCTAAGGCTTCCACAGAGGATTTCCAGAAGTCCCAGGTCAGCCCAGTCTCAAACACAAACCCAAAACAAAAAACAAAATACCTTTAGAATTGGACCGCTGTGAGTGATTCAAAGCCTGGAAATTCCCACGTGGGAAATAAATCTGGCTTAAGAGGAATTTCCCCATGACAGGAATAAAGGTCACAAGGGGTTAACAGAAGATCGGGAACGCCCAGCTGAAGTAGTGTCACTTAACCAGCTATCAATACCTTCTCCAGCCTGCAAACCTCCCGGATTCTCAGTTTGGGTCTAGTCCTTCTTGCCCAGGAAACCCAGTAGCCTGACGGCAGGCAGCCGCCTGACCCGGGAAGACGCTTTCCTTCACCTTTGCTTTCCCATCGTTACTCGCTCACTTGGACAAAGTGTCCAGAGCTAGTACAGCAATAACTCTAAACTTCAAAAGTCTCAGGAAAAAAAAAAAAAGGAGTTGCCTCGGGGAACTGCGTGTACCACATAAAGTGGATCGTGTTTCCATCCCCTCCTCCACGCACTGCTTCCAAAACAGACTTCTGAAAAGCCAGGAAACCGACAGAGGAACAGATAAACAGAAGCTGCCAGGGAACCAGCTTGCTCAACAAGTGTCTCCCAAGCCCTGGCCCGCTGTGCCGGGGACACCTTAAGAGACGTTGGAGCCAGTGTTTGCTCACGGGTGGTTTAGGGGGTGTAGAAACATGGACCTGGAGACCAAGGAGGGCTAAAGTCCAGCTCCAGTCAGCAGCTGTGGGGTAGGAACTGGGCAAGTGGCTCTCCTCACCTGTAAGGTGGGAACAACACTAACGTTTACCTCGGATTGGGGGTAATGGGGTAATGAGGTTGCATACATGAACGAGAACATAATCTAGAATGTTCTGTCCTTTTCTAGAAGCCAATTTTATCTTTCTTCCATTGTTTTTCTTTAAAAATATTATTTGTGTGTGTGTGTGTGTGTGTGTGTGTGTGCGCGCGCGCGCGCGCGCGCACGCGATGTGTGAGTGTGGTGATGCGCACATGTGTACTTCCATGTTCGCACACAGAGAGCGGAGGAGAATGCATTCTGCTCCATCCCACCACCTTCTCTCCCACTGAGCCCACAGCTAGACTGGAACACACACCACCCCACCACCCCCGCAAGCTGCAGCGCCTCCTGCCCCTCCCGCACCCACTGTTAGGATTACAGGCACACACTCCGCACCCAGGGTCTGGGGATTTAGAATCAGGTCCTCAGGCTTGCACAGCAGCATCCCTCCCCTGTTTGACCGTCTCCCAGCCTTCTTTCTGGGCTTGCTGTTTTGTTTGTGTGCTCACTTTTGGGCAGAATCTTATTGTAGCCTGTACTGACCTGGAACTCACTCTGTAGCCCAGTCTAGCCTTAAACTCACCTCAGCCTTCCAAGTGTGCTAGGATTACAGTCATGGGCCTCCAAACCTGTTCCAATTCTATTTCTTATCCTTCCAGAGTTTTGTTTTACAAATATAAGCAAATTAACTATATGTATGTATAGCACATGTCTTTCGTCTCTGCTTCCAAAGAGGAACACATAACTGCTCTGTGCCTTGCTTTTCTACCTAATCTTTCTTGGAAATCTTTCATATCTCTCTGAAGAGAGTTTCCTCTCTCTCTCTCTCTCTCTCTCTCTCTCTCTCTCTCTCTCTCTCTCTCTCTCTCTCAACAGCACTATGAGATACTAGTGTGTGGCGATAGCATAGTTTTTATTTACCACCCTTTATGGGAAGATGTTTGGGTTATTTCCAAGCTTGGGAAATGGCCGTGGCTTGATGCGTCCTGCCATTGTGACATTTGGCTGTATAGCCAAGGAATGATGCCTTTGAAATTTTAGGAGTAATTTTACTGTTGTATAATTTTCTGCACTTGTAATTTTGATACCTTTTGCCCAATCATGCCATTTTATAATTCTCAACCAAGTGTAAGGGTATGAGTGGGACTCTTAGCAGATTATTTCTCTTGCTTTCAGTATTCATTACCGCCTGTAGGTCTGTGTTTAGGGGTGGGGCTCCATGAGACTCTCCCCCTCCATGTTAGCATGCCCATTGGTGTCCTATTCTGGTCTTGTTTAGGCAGCCATATAAGAGGTATCATGGGTGAAGCTCCCTGTCATTTCTAGGAGATAAAATCTCAGCCGATTTCCTGGTAGTCTGGCTCCCACAATCCTTCTGCTCCCTCTTCCATGATTTCCCCTGAACTTTAGGTGTAAGAATTGTGTTGTAGATGTATCAGTTGGGGCTCTACACTCCAGGATCACTTGTTCTCTGTATTTTGACTGGTTGTGGTTTCCTGTAGTGGTCTCTGTCTCCAGAAGTCCTGGAGTTAAAGGCATGTACCACTACCTACGGTGGAAAAGAATTCTTTCTTTAGCAAACAGGGTTTTGTTTAATGGAATGGCTGTGTTGACAATTTCTTAAGATGGTTCTGCAAGGGGCTGGAGAGATGGATCAGTGGTTAAGAGCACTGACTGCTCTTCCAGGGGACCTGAGTTCAATTCCCAGAACCCACGTGGCAGCTCTCAACTGTCTGTAACCCCAGTTCCAGGGGACCCAACACCCCCACACAGACATACATGTAAGTAAAACACCAATGCACATAAAACAAAAATAAATAAATTATTTAAAAAAAAAAAGCAGGGCTGTGGTGGCCTTGGAAGGCAGAGGCAGGCAAATAGGCCAGTCTGGTATAAACAAACAAACAAACAAACAAACAAACAAAAAAAGATGGCTCTGCAAAAAGCATTTGGTGTCTCAAGATAAAGGAAGGGGATTCAAGGGAGTACCCAGAGCAGAACCCAGGAAAAATTTAACTCATCTGGTCTCTACTTAGTCCTATAGCTCTCAAGCAGAAATTATTAGGCTACCATATTAAAATACTAAATGTTTGGTGTATATTCCTTTTTCCTTCTTTAAGCCAGTGTGAAAATCTGCCATTCCTGATGGGGGTAGGGATTGTTGTTTTTATACAGACACATGGAGAAAAATGATAATCAAATGGAAAATTGTTTTCTTGGGGCCAGAGAGTTGGCTCAGCAGTTAAGAGTGCTTGTTCTTGCAGAGGACCCGAGTTTGGTTCCCAGCATCCCCAGGGTGGCTTATACCATCCGTAATGCCACTTACAGGGACTCCAGCACTCTTTGCTGACATCCATGGGCACCACGAAGGCATATGTTGCCTATACATACCTTTGGGTGAAACATTCATATACATAAAATAAATAAATCTAAAAAAATTTTTTGAGAAAGAAAAAGAAAAATCTCTCAAGTAACCTTAAAACCTCCAACATTACAATGAAACAAATTATGGTTAAACAGACACATAAATTGGATAGCTGGGAACTATATTTTTCCAAAACTTAAAAGAAGGTAACTGTCAGACTGTTTTTTAATCATGGTTCAGACTTTTTTACACAGCACTTTTATCTTCCCAACGACGTTTCAATCCAGTGAAAACTTCAAATGAACCTGTAGTATGCTAGCAAGTCACAGTTCACTTTAAACCAAGAGAATTTGTCTTCTGTTTTGGTGAAACTTGTCCTATTGGAATACCTAGAAAGTTAACGTGCTCCATCTGCGACCAGTGATGAAGCGCAGGGGATTGCCAGTCAGCATTCTATGAGAGGTCTTGCTTCTTTCAACTCCCATGGTTTCATTTTATTTTATGTGAGTGGATGTTTCGCCTGCATGTATGTCTGTGCATCACATGTGTGCCTGGCATGGAGGTCAGAAGAACATTAGATCTCCTGGAAAT